TACTTACAAAAAAATCCGCAGAATACCTGCTGGATCTCCTCACTATTTCGAAGAACAAATGTGACCTAAGGTCTTCGCTCATTTACCAGCTTCACATTCCTTATTGATGCCCCCAGGGTCTGGAATGCTATCGCCAATAAACTGCAACTTGGATCACTACCTGTGAGATCTTCACTCAAAACTGCTCTCGAGGAGTTGTACACCCCTAGCTGCCACTGCTATTCAGTGGCCTGAAATCAAATGTATCATTCTGGATGACTGCTGCAAAGTATGATCTTAAGTTTTGATTATAGTGTGCTGATTTTTAAAGATGCATTGAAAATGTTTGATACTCCTTCTGATACTCCTGCTGTTATGTAGTGACTCATGCTGCCAGCTATGGTTGCAAAGTTTGGTAGTACATGTTATGTATATCGTTTATTGTTAAATTAGAATCACAGTTCCTATGATCACTGTTACGTTGTTTTTATAGCTTTATTTTGGTGATTTCGAAAACGTTTTGGTTTAGCCATACTTGTTTGTTGCAGTACAGAGTTAGACTGATAACTTTAATCTAAATTGTCTTATGGTTGTTATTGTTTGACGTGCATCCCACTGGGATTTTTGCACACAGCGTTGATATACGGTGCTTTTTCTGGAAGACTTTGCTGTTTTTCCCTCGATGTTTTTGTTTGCGCGTAGTCACTTTAAGATGTTTCTTGTTCATGTTTTTGTTTGTTGCGGTTGCATCCGATTCAAGAGTCGAATGGCTCACAGGGCAATTACCTAATAAATGAACTGAACTGAAATTAACTGAAGCGATCGAACCCAAACTAATCACGCAACTGCACTGCCCCCTGGCGGTCACATCACGCCACTGTACAAATCCACATCGACCAAAACCCCAGCGGATTCGTCTCTTTCACGTTCATCGGACCCCTCCACATCAAAAATAAAATGCAGTTACAAAAATCTTCCCGTGAGTGCACAATTTCAGCAGCACCATTGGTGCTTCCAAAGCCAGCAAAAACATTCTGGACCGGTTTCGACATTCAGTGTCTCATCAGCAGTCAGGATCGCTGGAGAATGTAAAACACGGCGCTCGATGTGACAAAGATCAACGATGAAGGTGCAGCCCCTGTGCTGAGTAGTTCCGACGGACGTACTCGGAGATGGAGGTAAGTTAAGGGCTTTCGCCAGGGTTTATTAAAGCTGTTACAATATTACACACCAGGGTACACAACTCCCAGGGGCTAGGAGTCCTACTCTTGAGTCCAGGTCCCTGCTAGCTCCGGTTTCTCTCTCGTGTCGGATCGTGGACTCTGCCGACTCCACCGACCGGAAAGAGAAGCACCTCTACGGCTACCACCGGCTTCTCCCCAGACTCCCTATTCGATCCCTCTCTCTACCCCTGGTTCCCTCTTCACCCTGCTTACTCTACCCGTTCCCACAGTCACCCCGCTTACGTCACGGGGTATCCCTTAAGTACCCTAGGAGACGTGACGTCATGTGCACTGTCCAGCGCGCGTGACCCCACGTCCCGTGACGTCATCGCACTGGACAGCGCACACGACGCCACTAATCTCCTCTACTCCTCTACACCTGCAACGGCTCGCTCACGCCACTGCAGGCGGAAGGACCACCAGAGGGCGCTCTGCACAGCTCCTCCCACCACCGGGGGGCGCTGTCGTCTCGCCGTCTCCCACCACCGGGGGGCGCTGTCGCCTCGCCGTCTCCCACCACCGGGGGGCGCAGTCGTCTCGCCGTCTCCCACCACCGGGGGGCGCTGTCGCCTCGCCGTCTCCCACCACCGGGGGGCGCAGTCGTCTCGCCGTCTCCCACCACCGGGGGGCGCTGTCGCCTCGCCGTCTCCCACCACCGGGGGGCGCTGTCGTCTCGCCGTCTCCCACCACCGGGGGGCGGTCGTCTCGCCGTCTCCCACCACGGGGGGCGCTGTCGTCTCGCCGTCTCCCACCACCGGGGGGCGCTGTCGTCTCGCCGTCTCCCACCACGGGGGGCGCTGTCGTCTCGCCGTCTCCCACCACCGGGGGGCGCTGTCGTCTCGCCGTCTCCCACCACCGGGGGGCGCTGTCGTCTCGCCGTCTCCCACCACCGGGGGGCGCTGTCGTCTCGCCGTCTCCCACCACCGGGGGCGCTGTCGTCTCGCCGGCGACAAAGCGGCGGCCTCACCAAGCACCGTGAACTTGCATCGAGATCCAGAGCCTCGCAGTCCCGTAGCCAGCACCACGCCCGGCCACCTTTGTCTCCCCAGTGGCGACGTTTACACATCGCACCAGGTGCTCGTTTGAGGCTGAGTCTACCTAGGGGTCAGGTTCATTGCGCAATGCGCTCACCGGATTACACACACACACAACACCTACCAGCGCATGTAATGATAGAGAATCACTGCACCAGATTCAGTTGAATTAAATGATGACGTCACCCTGATGCTGCTCTATTTAAGACCGGAAGCAACAGGAGAGCTTCACCATTCTTGCCCGATGAAGCTGATTGTAATTATCAGCGAAACGTCGTACTCAAATTTTAAAATGCTGTTGATTCTCTCTTCAGCACACCGGTGGGCTAAAGAAGTGAATTATTTTGTCCTTTGAAAAAGTGACACATTTTTTACTGTTTGGCCGTGTCGGGTGGTGGAGGGTTACGACACATTTATAAATAACGCGATCCGACCCAAAAACCTTGATTATGAATGATAGAGTTCTCAACGGTGTGTGCAGTCGGGAGTTGTCTGTCCTTCAAAGCAGGGGGGTCCCCAACCCCCGGGACGCGGACCGGGACTGGTCCGTGGCCTGTTAGGAACCGGGTCACACAGCAGCAGGAGGTGAGAGCGGTGAGTCCGCGCGTGGAACCTGCCCCCATTGTTTTATTACTCTGGTCAACAACAAAAAAACTTTTTTTTCTGGCCTGGACTTTTGCAGCTGTTCTAGACTAATTTCAGGGTGCTGATTCCAAATCTGATCTCAGATTTGCTCTATCACATCTCATTTTATGCTATCGGCATACCCCATTTTCATTGATTTTACCCGAAATTAACTCTGTCATTTATGATTGCAAGTTGTTGCGAGTCAGTGACTGCTTTAGTGTTAAAATATGGTGCTGTATTTTTTTAGGATAGTGTGTTTATAATATAATTTTATGTAGATATCCACATTTATTTAATATTTTTATTCTTCAGTTTTTTTATTGAAAATGCAATATTTGATATCTCAAAAACCTGATGTGATAGACAAACACTGATGCCAGATTTGGAATCAGCACCCCAAAATTACATGAAAACCGTTGGAATACCTTATGCCAGAAAAAGTGTGTTGACCAGTGTTATTCACCACTTTCATCCGCGCCTCTTTCCCGCACAGCGCGCTTGTCTCAGTCACCGTGTTGGTAAGCCCACAAGCTGCTAACCCCTAGTAGCCAAAATGAGTACAAAACAAACGTCGCTGGAGAGCTTCTTTGAAAAGGGGGAAAACCCCAATTATTAACCCCCCCCCCCCCCAGTCCGTGCAAAAATTGTCTTCCACGGAACCGGTCTCTGTGCCAAAAAGGTTGGGGACCGCTGCTCTCAAGGGGGACATGGAATGTGGAATTTCCACCTCTAGCTGAGGGTGGCTCTGAGGGACGAGTTCCGCCCAGAGACAGAAAGATACAGAAAGAGAGAGACAGAGAGACAGAAAGAGACAGACGGAGAGAGAAAGAGACAGACAGAGAGAGACAGGAGGAGGCGACGACGAGAAGTGGGGGGTTGACGAGGTGAGGGGGGCGAGGAGTGAGTGACGAGATGGGATGAGGGGCGCTTGAGCCCTTGGACAGAGAACATAACAAGTTTCGGTTTTTTATTTACAGAATCCACTCACGGTACAGTACGAGTCTTGGATCACAAAGAACGACTCTAAAGTCTTAACCGCAGTCAATGTCACAACCAGAAGACTAAAACATGGCCCTGAGTTTTGTAAGAACAGTGTATAAAATATTCAACGATATTTCACTCCTGCAAATGTGTAGAGGTGATACGCGCTGGGATTAAGGATCGTGTGCACAGTGTGTGATGATTGGCTGTGTAGGTGGTGACGCGCGCTGACGGTGGAGGATCAGGGGTCAGCGCGGGGTCGTGGGTTACGGGGTACCGATTGGCTGTGGGCGGTGACGCGCTGAGAGGGAGTGATTAGGTGGCAGCGCAGTGTGATTGGTGGGGTAATGTTAACACGCGCTGGGGAGAGCGGATCGTAGAGAGAGTGCGTCGTGATTGGGTCATTAAGGAACGACGCACACGTCGACGCCGCATCAGCTCCGTCCCTCGTGAGCAGGGGCTATAAAAGGGGATGCACACAGGCGTAAGGGCAGTGTGTAACCAGCGAAGAATGAAGACGGGGATGAAGACCTAGAGCCCTGCGGTACCTAGCCCCGCTGTCCTAAGGGGACCGGGACTCTGTGTAACCCAGAGGCGAGTGTAGTGGGTGTAGCCATAGGGCTTACACGAGTCGAGTGTATTGTGTAGCCAGAGGCATAGGGCTTACACGAGTCGAGTGTATTGTGTAGCCAGAGGCATAGGGCTTACACGAGTCGAGTATATGGTGTGTAGCCAGAGGCCTAGAGCTTACACGAGATTAGTGGAGTGTGTCGGAGGAAGAAGGAAGACCACACGTTGTATTGTGATACCTAAAGGATTTAATAAAAGTGTGTTACCCGTCAAGAAGTTCCTGCCGTCAATTCCCATACTTCAAATGCATCACCGAGCAAAGTACTTCATGTCAGACGTTCCAGGACATCTGCGAGGTCCCACTGAAGACGCGAGAGAGGCCGCAGCTGAGAGGGCCACCCGGCACTGCGCGTGGGGGAGCCAACCATGGGGACCCCCCCCCTTAGTGCAGTCACACGCAGACCCCCCCCCCTTTAGTGCAGTCACACGGAGACCCCCCCCCCCCTTAGTGCAGTCACACGCAGACCCCCCACAGCGCTCACTCGCGCTGCACCAGCACCGCACCAGCACCGCACCACTCACTGACCCTGTCGAACAGGGCGTGTTATCACATAGCTCACAGTAGGCACTTTGCATAGGGTGCACCCACCCAGCCACTCACCTAGCCACTCACCCAACCACTCATCCAGCCACTCACCTAGCCACTCATCCAACCACTCACCCAGCCACTCGTCCACCCAGCCACTCGTCCACCCAGCCACTCGCCCACCCACCCAGCCACTCATCCAGCCACTCGCCCACCCAGCCACTCACCCATCCATCCACTCGCCCACCCAGCCACTCATCCAGCCACTCATCCAGCCACTCGCCCACCCACGTTCACCACCACACGTTCACCATCACACGCATTTTTTGGCGACACTTTGAAAATTACTTCTGACCGGGTTAATGTGAATAATGAAAATAGAGTAAAAAAGTGACATTTTACCTCCACCAATACCCACCATAATTGATCACAGGGTTAATACAAGAATTTGGGAAAAGAGACAATGGGAGAGAATTATGCAGATAATGGAGCAATTATCCCATCGGTAGATTATGCAATAGCAACTCCAAATATACGGGCAGGTGTCAGGGTGGGGATTGAACCCACGACCTCCTGTATAGCAGGCGAGGTAGTTAACATCTCGCCATGGTGGCGCCCACTATCAAGTGCACCCCAGATAGACTCGGGAACCTGGTGCAGCAATTTCAGGATTGGAGTCATGTGGTTTTGTTCACGGACACTCTGAGAAATCCAGGATATAGAGTTGGAGACACACGAGAGATATCCAGTCGAGAGTTACGGTTGTCAAGGCAAGAGGTGACAAAGGCATGATGGTCTAAGGTTTCAAATAAAACGTGGAACACGGAGCACACGGGCAGTTTGTGTGTGCGATCCGCTCCACGTGCCAACCAATCAGATGGGGCATCGAGATGCCTGAACATTATCAAACGTCCACGATCTCCAATACTTTTAGTCTTTTCTCTTCGTGTCCGTTCATCAGCAGCTGCCCGTTCACGTCCCCATGCACGTCCCCATGCACGTCTGCATTCCTGCCGCCACTGTGGAAATAAAAACAAACAGCAGGTTTACCAACCACGCGGTGCCTGCACACAGCAACGCGTGGACGTATCTCGCCGGGAACGAGCAGAGGGACTCAATGGCTCTCACTCTTTCATATCGGTTCGCGTCGGCAAGAACAAGGGGCTGAACCCAGGAGCTCGGTGTTGGCTCAGTGTCCCCGGCACGGCCGCTATGAACTGCTTAGGAAGAGACCCAGACCCGGCGGTGCGTGAACGTGAAACCTCGTCAGTGACACCGCGTGGGAGGCCACCGAGAGAGCTCAGCCCGTCTGCCCACGTCCACGCTCATTCACCAGCAGCTGGGCTGGGCTGGGCTGGGCTGGGCGGTCTGAGTGCCTGGGCTGGAGGGGGTGGGGGGGCACCTGCGTGAGTGGAGGCAGAGCCCTGAAGACGGATGGCGTTTCTGCCAGATGAAGACGGAGACAACGATGAAGATGACGCTGGCGGAGATGACGACAGGCAGGATCCAGGCAGCCACCACCCCTCCCTTGTCCGAGGTCTCCTCTAGAGGGGCGAGGGTGGCGTCACTCACGCCCCCACCGTGTGACTGTGGGGCTGCAGAGACACGGAGACAGAGAGGGGGGGGGGGGCTCAGCGTGACCCCCACTCGCACCCAGCACCACAGCCCCACCCAGCGACTCAACACTGCTTCACCTGCAGCAGGGAGAGACCACTCACTCAACACGGCTTCACATGCCACACTCAAGACCTGATTCACGTGCATCACAGATTCCTGGCTGAGAATCACCCTAGTTTTTCCATGACCCTTGACCTCCCGGCTTCAAGGAGTAAAATCTCGTGCACCGCGCAACGCAAGTTCCCCCATAATCGCTTCCTCCGTTTTGAACAACGTCGTGACGAACGGTGCTCATTTTATTTTCTTATATATTTTATTATCTGACAAATTATAAAACAAGAAACTAAATCAAGAAAGTTGTAAAACGAACGTGCATTATCCATTAAATGAGCGCCTTGCCAATTGTTAAGGCGTATAAATTAAACGACACCCTCATATGCCGTGCATTATTCACTGCATAACTGAAATCGCGCATCAGCGTTAGAGGACTCGTGGCAGGCGCGTGATGAGTGGTCGAGAACGCTTGAGTAGTCCTCGTCTTTATGCGTGCGAAAAGTAAAGCAAAGCAAATCACCAACATAATCAATGTGGACAAGATAATACGATGTGAGACTGATATAATCATGTTGCTAAAGTTTAATTGTTATCGAGTGGTGAAGAGTTTTATAGCGACAATGATGGCTGTATCAGCTACAGCACCACGCTCGGCTCTTGTTCACCTGCAGGCATCACGTCCAGCAGCACCTCCCCTTGCACCTCGTTGTTCTCCGCGTTGCATCGGCGACAGTCGATGCGGCACAGAGCCACGGGGCCGAGGCTATTGGGGAAGTTGGGGATGCCGATGGAGCAGTCTCCCATCAGCACGTCTCCCACAGACTTAACGATACTGAAGTCCTCTTTCTCATCCCTCGTTTGATAAATCTGCAATGACACAAACCACAATATGGAAGATCAACCACAATGGCACAAGATGCCCACGGTAAAATCGTCCTGAATGCCCCTGGGCTCGTTGGATGTCGCTAGCTAAGCAGACTTCAGCTCGGTTACCACCTAGATGGGAGACTTCCGGGGAACACCAAGCGTTGTAGGCTTCGGCTGCAACGCGACAAGGGGATGGCAAAATATAAATGTTGAGCTTGCGTAGAGTGTTGAGAGTGGGTCTACCTGTGGACTTGAATCTGTGTAGAGTATTGCGTGTAATCCCCCTCATATTAAACACGAGTTTCATCAGGTACTCTGGTTTCCCTCCACATGAAGCCAGATAAGATGGCCGCTGGCAGGGTCGGTTGCAGTGGGTGAGGCATGAGCTGAGGGAGCCAAGGGAGCCGAGGGAGCGAGACCGTGATGGTGTGGAGGAGGCCATGATGCACTCACTCATCTTGCACTGACTCACTCACACATCGTACGCGTAATGGGTATATCGTTTGTTGTTGAATTTGAATCGCAGTTCCTATGAGTACTATTGTTACATTTGTTTTTATGGCTTTATTTGGGTGATTTCGAGAACGTATGGTTGGTCTAAATTGTCTTGTGGTTGTTGTTGTTTGACTTGCGTCGCACTGGGATTTTTGCACAGAGCGTTGTAGTGTTGTTGGTTTTTTTGAAGATTTGCTGGTTTATCTGTTGCACGTTGTCACCTTGGGATGTTCTCTGTTCATATTTTGTTTGTTGCGGTTGCACCCAACTTAAGAGCCGTATGGCTCACAGGGCTATACCAAAAAAAACTAAATGAAATAAATGAAACTTGAATCCTCATTGGGCAAAGATCTCAGAGCAGTGCCTTCCTGAAATGGAGTTGTGGGACTAATTGGGACATTTTCTGGGTAATTAAAGGGCGCCACGTAACTTTGTTATTATCTGTTACGTGTCGACGTAGACATCAAGTACAGAGACAATTATTCACGGTTGACATGAAATGCGGCCGTCACCTTCTTCATCTCTCTTCTCGTCATGTTCTCTGCGTAGCGTCTGGGCATCGTGAAACACTGGATGATGATGTGGTCTGGGTGGGTTGCCGGTGGGGAGAAGGAGCATGGAATAGTCACGTTCTCTCCCTCCCTCACAGACAGACTCTGCGGAAGAGTGATCTTGAGCATCGCAGCCAATGCCGCATCTACAGGGAGACCGGACACACTCGTTACAGATACAGGAGTATCCCTCAGTATATAAGAGAGGCTTTTTGATTAGAGCACGTAAATACATAAATTTGTCGTTAAACGCGCCACCACCCGGCACAGCCAATTAGTAAGGTTTGACACAGAAACAGAACGTGCCAATTCATCACTAGTACAGCACTAGTGTGTAGTGTATAGTATAGTATACTAGTAGAGCACTAACCGGTGTGTTGGAGAGCAAAGGTACAACATTTACAATCTGAGTACGATGTTCCGCCAGTAATTACAACCGACATCATCAGGCGACAGACAGATTTGTGGAGATATCCTCCTGTTTCGTTCCTTAAATAGAGGGGTAGATGTGATGACAACACTTGTGAGCAACTTCTTGCACGAAGTGTGGGGGGAGGGAATTAATCTATATATATAAAATCGTTCATGTCTGTCTGTCTGTGTGTGTGTGTGTGGACTTTGGCCCATACGCACTTTCATTGGACGGCGGTTGCCCCTGGCAACGGCTAGCCACGCCTTCGCCGCTTTCATTGGACCTGGCAACGGCTAGCCACGCCTTCGCCAAGGGCTGCAGTTTCATTGGACGGCGGTTGCCCCTGCCAACGGCTAGCCACGCCTTCGCCACTTTCATAAGCTCCGTATTTAATTAAATAATAGCCATTACACAGTATTGTTGGAGCGCTAGGGGGGGGGGGGGAAGGAACGCCACCCGTACCCTGCCTTTTCCAAGCCGACAATTTTAGGCGAGGCCGCAGGCTTTGCACGCTACTAGGCCTCGACACCCACCACGCCACTCTGAGGTAAATTCATCAAAGTTTTTCCTACTCTTCACTACACCCCCACCACAATGTGTGCTATTAATATTACTTTTAAACCCAACGCGCCAACAATCGATTACTTTAATGTTCACTGTACAAATACTCATTAAGCTGGGTGAGCGTACTGCCAGTCTATCATGTACACTGTAGCCTGCTTATTAAGCTCGGTGAGCGTACTGCCACTCTATCATGTACACTCTAGCCTGCTTATGAAGCTGAGTGCGTGTACTGGCAGTCTATAATGTGGACTCTTGCCTGGTTATTATAATCGATTCTTTATATGTTCTTTGTACAAACAGTCATTAAGCTGCTTGAGCGACCCCAGTTCGATTCCAACTCACGCCCACCACCGCTGACGATTATTTGAAACGGACCTGGCCCTCCCCTAGGTCCACTCAGCCTCAAAAGCGTAACTGCTGTCGTGTGTGAACATCGTCACTGGGGAGACAAAGGCGGCGGGGCATCGTGGATCCAAGTCCCGGGCGAAGCCGGGTCATACATATGTGTGTATGTGTTTATGTGTATGTCTGTGTGTCTGTATGTATGTGTGTATGTGTTTATGTGTGTGTGCATGTATGTGGGTTTTTTTCTATGTCTTTATGTGTATGTCTGCGTGTCTGTATGTATGTACGTGTGTGCATGTGTTTGTGTGTATGTATGTGTGTGTCTATGTATGTGTGTGTATGTGTTTCTGTGTATGTATGTGTGTTACGTGTCTGTCTGTGTGTCTGCATGTATGTGTGTGTGTATTGTGTATGTGTTTGTATGTGTTTGTGTGTTTACGCTCGCATTACACAAATGTGTTGCAGGTCTAAGGAGTTCCTTGCGCAGCATTGCCGCTTTATTATTTCAGTCGTTTACTGCCGTACGCACCCTGAAAGTCGTGTGTGTCTGCAGCAAGCGCGTGTATGTGTACCTATGGACGCGCGCGCGTGTGTTGTGTAGGGGGAACGGTAGTGTAGTGCTTAGCGTGCTGCCTGTGTCTGTGTGTGTGTGTCTGTGTGTGTGTGTCTGTGTGTGTGTGTCTGTGTGTGTGTCTGTGTGTGTGCGTGTGTGGTGTGTGGGGAGCGGTAGTGTAGTGGTTAGCGTGCTGTCTGTGTGTGTGTGTGTCTGTCTGTGTGTGTCTGCGTGTGTCTGTGTGTGTGTCTGTGTGTGTGTCTGTGCGTGTGTGGTGTGTGAGGAGCGGTGGGTGTAGTGCTTAACGCTACGCTGCTCTACCTACCCGTCGAACCCAGTTCCATTCCCGCTCACGACCACCACCGGTGACGATTATTTGAACCTCCCCTAGGTCGACTCTGCCTCAAACGAGTAACTGCTGTAGCGTATTAACATCGCCACTGGGGAGACAAAGGCGGCCGGCCGTGGTGGATACAAGTCCCGGGCGAAGCCGGGTAGTACAGCTAGTGAATGTATATAAATGACTATGGTCATCTATTGCTGGTTGGGTTATTTGTATGGTTCGGTTTACGAAATTTCTCCTTTAACGAAATTGACAAATTATGGGCTCTTTTCGATTAAGAAAATCTAATTTCCACGTGAACAAAATTTCACTGCGGCATGCACCGTGACGTCATCAAACAAGAAGTGCACGGGAGGCTGCATCACCCATCGGCGACATCGTCACGCTACCTCCACAGCGCACAACAGCAACGTCTACACATCACCTTCACAAAGGGTTGATTATTTATGCTTCAATTATATATTATTCAAACGTGTTTAATATGTATGTTCTTTAGTATTATTTTTGGGATATACGTGATGCATATTTTTTAGGTTAGGAGTAAATTTGGAATGAATGTCCGAAACACATCTATCATTATTGGTATTAAAATGCAGTCAAGGGAAAAGCCATTCCGATTACTCAAATGTCATTTTATTTACAGAGACATCGCTTACACTCGTTACGCCACTCTGCAAAGGTTCGTCCAGTGGTAACAGGGCCACAGAGAGATCTTGAAAACGCCGTTAAACACAGGGGTTCAACACCATCTACATTTGTAATTGTGGAGAATAGATTAATAAAACTACGACCTCAATGGAAGCTACAACACGGTGAGCTCCGCGTAGCATCAGCTGTCAGAGAGGAAGGCCGCTCACCTGGTGAGTGAGCGCAGTGAAACGTCTCCCCCTCGACCAAATCTTAGGGCTACCTCCCCCACCGTCAGTGCCCAGACTCAGAGTGGCCGCTCGTGAGCCGAGTCTCAGCGGAGCGCGCGGCCCGGGAGCCACTGGCAGGGCCAGGGCGGTGTCACAGGGGTCACATGACCGTGACCTCATCCTCACGGTGGTTTATTTAAAAACTAAAAAACTACTCTCATTCGCAGGTAAGGCCCACTTACCTATGTAGCTCTTTTCTTCAAAAGTGACCTGGCCACAAATGATAGCTCAACAAAGTGGCTTGTCGTGCTGAAATTTACAGCAACAAAATAATCGAAATGCGCGTTGACTCTAAATGTGGAGGAAAAAACGAGAGGACCCGGAGACAAATCCACGTGACCACAGTGAGAGAGACACGCAAACTCCAAATATACAGCAGGCGTCAGGGTCGGGATCTCACCCACAACCTCCTGCATTCAGGCGAGGGAGGTAACAGTGAACTCTCACCTGGCTAACTAAAGGGCACCGTCTAATGTGTGCTGGGTGAGTGGCTCTGGGTGTGAACTCACCCAGAAGGAAGATGAACAGTGAGATGAGGACCAGCTTCATGGTCGGCTCTGTCTGCTGATGATCACACAAAGGAGAATGAGTCATTAGTCCATCTCACGGCCTCACTCCAATGGTTCATGCTCCCTCACTTAACATCAGCGATGAGATTTATCTTTTGAATTTGGGTTTCCCATCTGCAATAATATAACTTATTACTGTAATCGTGCTGCATGGGCACTGGTTTACGAGTGAAATAAAACGATGTTCTGCGTATGCCAAGGCACAGTCATCCTGTCCCCGAATCACACCCCGAGCCCTGCTGCCTGAAGTTGACACTGCAGTCGAATCCTGCACACACAGGCGCGACAACGCATCTGGTTCGTGTGGATGTTGAACTTCTTTTGCGCCGTACGGAGCCAACCGTAGCTAAGCGGCGTTCATGTTTTTTTTCTTGACACATCACACACACACAGAGATATTTGTAGACAAAGATCTCCCGTACAGCCTGAGCAGACTGTTGGGGCAAGTGAAGGCCGGAACGGCACACGAGGGGGTGGGTGGCTGGCACCACGCCCGGCCGCCTTTGTCTCCCCAGCGGCAATGTTCACTACACTACACCATAACACCAGGTACTCATTTGAGGCTGAGTCGACCTGGGGGAGGCCCAGGACCGGTTCAGATAATCGTCACTGGTGTTGGCCGTCAGCGGGAATCGAAACCAGATCGCCGGGTTCATAGTGCAGCGTAGCGCTAACCACTCCACCACCGCTCTCCCCTACCCACACACCAGAGGTCGCAAACGGATTTTGATTCCTTACCCGTACCCGGCCGCACCAGGGTCGCAAATGGGTACCCGTACCCGGCCGGGTACGGGTACGCACCAGGGTCGCAAACGGCTACCCGTACCCGTACCCGGCCGGGTATGGGTAGCCGGGTAGGGTACGGGTATCGGGTACCCGGTTGCGACCTCTGCCACACACCTACACACACACCTACACAGCCACACACATCTACACACACAAAGACAAAGATCCCCCATACAGCCTTAACAGACTGTCGGGGCAAGTGCTGTTAGCGAGCACCTATGAAGGCCGGCAATGTGGAGCACGAGTTCGATTCCCGCTCACCGCCAATAACAGTGGCGAATATTTGAACCGGTCCTCGGCATCCCCTAGGTCGACTCAGCCTCAAATCAGTACCGAGTGGCGATGTGTAAAGAACGCCACTGGGGGAGACAAAGGCGGTCGGGCGTGGTGCTGGCCACCCACCCCCTCATATCGAAAGTTTCCACTTCTAAACCATCCGTCGGCCTCTACCAACTCCCGCCTAAGGAAGGGGGTGTTCCCGTTTCGACGGCACCCACAACCCCGACCGGGACTCCGTGGAGTTTGTACCAACTAATTGTAAACAAAAACAACTTGCTATGGTGTTGACAGTGCAGTAACGCGTGTATATTGGCGTGCCACTTCGATATTCGCCGGTGTAAATAGTCGACAGTACACGATAGTATAACGTCTACGTACATCAGTTTAACACCATGCTTTCGCGAGCAATATCCGTATTGTAGGTTTTTTTTGGAGGGTTAGATCGCGTAAATATAAATTTGTCGTCAAACCCGCCACCATTGTTTTGTAAGGTTGTAAATGCCGAGATTGTAAATGTTGTGGATTTGCACCCCAACATGTACTCGTAACTTCATTGGAACGTTCCGCTTACGTGACACAAAGCTTACCAATTGTCTGTGTCGGGTGGCGGCGGGTTTGACGACGCATTTATATTTAAGCGCTCTAAGCCCACACACACAAAACCCAAACCTAGAGTAATACAGATCTACACGGGACGTGTTGACACAGTTCCTATGATCACAGTTACATTGCTTTTATTTTGGTGATTTCGAAACGTTTTTTGGTTTGGCCATGTTTGTTTGTTGTAGTACGGAGTTAGACTGATGGCCTTAATCTAAGTTGTCTTGTGGTTGTTGTTGTTGTTTGACTTGCATCCTATTGGGATTTCTGCACACAGCGTTGGTGTACCTTTTTTTTATTTTTGCTGTTTTTTCCCCTGGATTTTCTGTTTGCACTTAGTCACATATTCACTTTAAGATGTTTTCCTGTTCATGCTTTTGTTTTGTTGTTTGTTACGGTTGCACCCGACCCAAGAGCCGAATGGCTCACAGGGCTACACCGAATAAATGAAACTAAAAATCGCGTGGTCGAACATTACCCTCCCCCCCCGTGCCCTGCGTGAGAATGGTCGCGTCCGGATGCATGAGAGGACGCCATCTTTGCACGCGAGGACGCCATCTTTAAATGGACACGACGGGGTCGTTCCCCGCTGCGCTGGGCGTTGTCGTCTGCGTGAAACCTCCCGCACGGGAGGGGGGGAATTTGTGTAGCCGCGTGCGACTCGGAGATGGTGGGGGAGGAGGTGAGTGAGTGAGTGAGCTCTTCGATCACGACCGCTCTTGCTTCGACCTCTTTACAACGAATCCCGCCTCGCGTTGTCACCATCACCACCATCACGATCGTCAACAACCACCAACATGACCACCACCATCATCACCACCACCATCATCATCATTAACACCATCATCACCATCGTTAACACCATCACCACCACCATCAGTTAACACCATCATCACCACCATCATCATTAACACCATCATCACCACCATCGTTAACACCATCACCACCATCATCATTAACACCATCATCACCACCATAGTTAACACCATCACCACCATCATCACCACCATCGTTAACACCATCACCACACCATCATTAACACCATCACCATCATCATTAACACCATCACCATCATCATTAACACCACCACCATCATCATTAACACCATCACCACCATCATCATTAACACCATCACCACCACCATCATCACCATCATCATTAACACCATCACCACCTTCATCATTAACACCACCACCATCATCACAATAATCATCGTCGCCGCCCGCTGCCCCAACTATCGCCTCTGCAGACTGCCGGGTGTGCAAGCGCTGTTAGCGAGCGCCTATTAAAGGCCGAACAGCACACGAGTGGAGGGCGCCGTCCCAACGTTTTGAGTCACACCCCCCCCCCCCCGTGGCGATGATTTCCGACTCATTTGAGGCCGAGTCGATCTAGGGGACGCCCACACGTTCGCCTCCTCCCCACCACGAGCCCCGGGCTGGGGTTGAGCTCCCACTGGTTGCCGCTAAGGGGCGGTGATGGGGGACAAACGCCGCTCTCGTCGCACTCCCGACCACCATTAACAGCGCCTCGCTCCTCTCAAACCCCCTTCACTCGCCTGACACGACCCCCTCCCCTCACTGCGGCCCCCCCCTCCCCTCACTGCGGCCCCCCTCCACTCACTGCGCCCCCCCTCCACTCACTGCGGCCCCCCACTCACTGCGGCCCCCCTCCCCTCACTGCGACCCCCCTCCACTCACTGCGCCCCCCCCCCCTCAACGCGCCCCCCTCGGTGCCCCCCCTCCCCTCAACACGACCCCCTCGGCGCCCCCCTCCCCTCAACACGACCCCCTCGGCGCCCCCCTCCCCTCAACGCGACCCCCTCGGTGCCCCTCAACGCGACCCCCTCGGCGCCTCCCTCGGCGCCCCCCTCCCCTCAACGCGACCCCCCTTGGCGCCTCCCCCTCAACGCGACCCCCCTCGGCGCCCCCCTCCCCTCAACGCGACCCCCTCGGCGCGACCCCCTCGGCGCCTCCCCCTCAACGCGACCCCCTCGGCGCCCCCTCCCCTCAACGCGACCCCCTCGGCGCCCCCCTCCCCTCAACGCGACCCCCCTCGGCGCCTCCCCCTCAACGCGACCCCCCTCGGCGCCCCCCTCCCCTCAACGCGACCCCCTCGGTGCCCCCCTCCCCCTCAACGCGACCCCCCTCCCCCTCAACGCGACCCCCTCCCCCTCAACGCGACCCCCTCGGCGCCCCCCCCTAACGCGACCCCCTCAACACGACCCCCTCAACGCCCCCCCTCCCCTCAACGCCCCCCCTCCCCTCAACGCCCCCCCTCCCCTCCCCTCAACGCCCCCCCTCCCCTCAACGCCCCCCCTCCCCTCAACGCCCCCCCCCCCCTCAACGCGGTCCACTCGGCAAATCGAGCCTCCTATCTCGCCTGAGCATGTCGCGACGTTCGCGGCCTCTTACTGGGCGCCAAGCAAGGCCCTCCCTACCTGTCCTCGTGTCGGCCTTGTCGTGGGGAGACTCCCGCTCTTCAGCTCTTCCACTGCCAGGCTCGGCTCGGCTTGATCAAAGTTTAAATGGCGCCAATGCCGGCTGTTGTGAAATGTGAAAGTGCACGCCCATCAATGACGTCACGCGCTAGGGGGAGGGGTGAGAAATGTGACGTCACATCAAATGCTCAACTTTACATAAATATAGACAACACGTTCTACTTAGTTAAATAGACTTTTTAATAAATGTTTTTTTCTACAACATCAGAGTGCAGCGCCACATTAAATACGCACTACAATGACAATAGTTTACAGCGATTTGAAGCGTGTTTTATTTGGGGGGGGGGGGCAGAGTTTTGTGACGTCATATTTGAGGGGGGGTCTGATTTTTTTGTACCGCCGTGTGACGAGGGGGGGTCAAAAATCGTCCAAAAACGCGTGACGTCATTTATGGACGGCCCCTTTGTGCTGTTCGCCTTTTGGCGTCCTCGGGTTCAAGTTCAAGTTCATTTATTAGGTGTAGCCCTGTGAGCCATTCGGCTCTTGAATCGGGTGCAACCGCAACAAACATGAACAAGAAAACATCTTATAGTGACTAAGTGCAAACAGAAAATCCAAGAAAAGACAGCAAAATATTGCAGAAAAAACACCATACACCAAAACTGTGTGCAAAAATCCCAGCGGGATGCAAGTCAAACAACAACAACAACCACAAGACAACTTAGATTAAGGCCATCAGTCTAACTCTGTACTACAACAAACAAACATGGCCAAACCAAAACACTTTTAGAAAATCACCAAAATAAAGCCATAAAAGCAATGAAACAGTGGTCTTAGGAACTGTGACCGAATTTTCACAATCTTCCTAGCGTTCCCGCTGTGGCACAGGGTCCGCTTTTCGGCATTGTCTTCTCCATTTGGCTCGGTCCAGGGCATCTTCAGGGGATGCGTTGACCGTCTTCATGTCTTCCTTTATTCGATCCATCCATCGCTGTTTCGGACGTCCGCGTGGACGGCGGCCCTCTGGCTCAATTTTCACAATAAACGACGTAAACAACATGTACTACCAAACTCTGCAGCCATAGCTGGCTGGCTGCATGAGTCACTCCACAACAGTAGGAGCATCAGTCGGAGTATCAACATTTTTCAATGCACCTTTAAGATCAGCGCACTCGGGTGAGACTATGCCCTTAAAGAAGGCTGTCTCTGGCGTAGGCCAATCAGTTGAAAAACAATGCCCGTGCATTAATTATCAGAGCTTGTTTGTTTGCGTGTTCACAAGTACGTGTGGTTAATGAAGACATGATTCCTTGCAAAAGGTTTAATCTATTTGGTGTTTAAACATCTTAACACAACTCCCCGTTTTATTGCCAGAAAGGCTAAATAGCTACTAATCTTAATTTTTTCCGTACTTTTTTCATTTTCACTGTCCACTACTCACGCTCGTGACACCTACGAGCTGTAGGGGCGGACCTCTGTCCACTCGGTGGTGCTGTTGGTATTCACGTTCAGCACCACGAGTTGGGAGTCTCATCCCTGCAGTTCCCTGTTATGGTGCCACATCTTTTACCAGGTTATAGTGATAGGTGTTTACCCTTTCAACTGGTACAAAAACTGACACCTTTATACAAGGCATCATGTTTGCAATAACCACAACACAAGCAGTCAAAATGCAAACAAAAAGAAACAACTCTGATAATGATATGCACTGTCCTTGAAGTTGATTGGTCCACACCCGAGACAGCTTTTCTTAGAGCCTAGTCTCCACTGGTGTTGGACCAGATGACGCCAAAAGGCGTACAACTCAAAAATAGCGCACTATCAGAGTATTGAGAGCTCGGGGTAAGCATTTACACTATGAGACCTCCTTTACCAGTGGCAAAATATAGTAGTAGGTTTTTACCCTTTCAACTGGTACAAAAACTGACACCTTTATACAAGGCATCATGTTTGCAATAACCACAACACAAGCAGTCAATATTGTTTGCATTTTGACTGCTTGTGTTGTGGTTATTGCAAACATGATGCCTTGTATAAAGGCGTCAGTTTTTGTACCAGTTGAAAGGGTAAAAACCTATTACTATATTTTGCCACTGGTAATGGAGGTCTCAGTGTAAATTTTTACCACATTGCCCCTCAATTCCCCTACACACGGGGTACTATCTTCACAAGGATTGTGTTTCACTGCATGAGGACGAAATGAATCTTGTAACAGAATGAATGATAAATTGTGTTGAATTACAATCGATGATCGGCTGGATGAAGGAGGTCGGGGGTTCGATCCCGACGCTGTATATTTGTCGTCTGCGTGCCTCTCTCTCATCGTCATCACGGTGGCTAGGAGATGTTAGCTACCTCGACTGCTATACAAGAGGTAGGTATTTGGAGTTTGCGTGTCTCTCTCATCATCTCTCATCATCAAGACGCGGAAGACTACGAGACACGGCATGGATCGACAGAAACGCGGAGTGGAGCGGCCCCGCACCACGACGCGCTCCGGGATCCGTAAATCCAGTTCCATTGCGCGGGTCCGGCCCTGTGACCCCGCCCCCTCCCCTCGACCCTCTTCTCGACCCCTCCCCTCGACCCCTCGACCCTCCCCTCGACCCCTCCCCTCGACCCCTCCCCTCGACCCCTCCCCTCGACCCTCCCCTCGACCCCTCCCCTCGACCCCTCCCCTCGACCCCTCCCCTCGACCCCTCCCCTCGACCCCTCCCCTCGACCCCTCCCCTCGACCCCTCCCCTCGACCCTCCCCTCGACCCCTTCTCTCGACCCCTCCCCTCGACCCCTCCCCTCGACCCCTCCCCTCGACCCCTCCCCTCGACCCTCCCCTCGACCCCTCCCCTCGACCCTCCCCTCGACCCTTCCCCTCGACCCTTCCCCTCGACCCCTCCCCTCGACCCCTCCCCTCGACCCCTCCCCTTGACCCCTCCCCTCGACCAGCCAATGAGAGCGTCGCCCGAGAGAGCCGTTTAAAATTTGAATTTTTATTTTAATTTTCTGCCGCGCCGCTGCGGCATCTAAGGTGAGTGGCTTCCCCTCGGTCGTGGGGGTCCTCTTTGGATTGTGGGGGTCCCCTCTGGATTGTGGGGGTCTCCTCTGGGTCGTGGGGGGGGGATCCCCCGTGCGTGGCACCCCCTCGCGTGCGATTTGAATGAAAAGTTTTCATCTTGATTTGAAGTTTTCGTGACTGCAGGAAATCATACACTTTGGTTCTTTCGGTAAAGTCACGTAGGGTAGAAATAAAATAAATCACGATGTTTCGATTGCAACACAAGCAATCATCATCATGTGGGAAAACCACAGCAAAAAGTTTTTTTCATTTATAATTCAAATTCTTGGATCTTTCGGTAGAAGCCGAAACGTCGTGAGAATTTTATTGTTTTATTTTATTATTTCCCGTCTACGTGACTTTACCGAAAGATCCAAGAATATGAATCCCTGCAGTCACGAAAGCTTTAAATCGAAATTTATAATTCATGAAGACATCAAACACCAGCTGCCTTCAAAGAGAGAAATAAATAAAGTGAGAAATCCGAAACGTTTCGAGCAATGGGCCTTTCACGAGGAGAGATAAGCGAGTGGTTTGCCTGCCGTGATGAGGATCTAATTCATTTTTCTATGTAAATAGTTCGTGAACATTTAGCCCTAGACAAAGCCTGCAATACCCACTGATAAACGAATTCCCATTATTCATTGTTAGTTTTCATTGTTCAGAGTGTTTGGCTGCTGTACAACTAACTTTCAATCTTGATTTGAAGCTTTCGTGACTACAGGAATCCATCCATACTCTTTGGTTCTTTCGCGACCAATATTATTCATAATAAAGGTTTTTGGCTTAGATCGCGTCAGTATAAATGTGTCAAAAACCTCCAGCATCATTGGGCAAATCACCCGATGGTGCTGGATGTATTAACCAGCGAAACGTCGGACTACTCAGATTTTAAATGTTGTGGATTCACTCTTCAACACATCGGTGGGCTGAAGTAGTCCACTACACTATACACTACACACTATGCTACACACTACGCTACACTACACACTACGCTGCACACAACACTACACACTACACTATACACGACACGACTATACACTACACTACTATACACTACTATACACTACTATACACTACACTACACACTACACTATACACTACACACTATGCTACACACTACGCTACACTACACACTACGCTGCACACTACACTACGCACTACTATACACTACTATACACTGCACTACACACTACGCTACACACTACATTACGCACTACACTATACTAGTTACTATTTGGCGTTTTGTTTATGTAATAAATCTCTTACCGATTGGACGTGTCGGGTGGTGGAGGGTTTCGACACATACCTACGCGATATAACCAAAAACCTTTGTTATGAGTAAATGGAATAGTTAAGTTTTTCAAGGTAGTATTATTCCTCATTAGTATGTAATATTAAAATATAATATTATTAATTACCAGTATACATTATAATTATCAGTATGCTTTGGAATTAATTATCAGTGCTTCATTATAAGTATGAATGGATATTCATGATTATTATGCATTATCAGTATGCATGATTAATTATCAGTATTTTCATTAGTTATACTATGAATTATTATTTAGTATTATTATGCATAATTCATTTTGAGTATGCATAACTTCATAAGATTACAGTATTAATTTCCACTATACATTGTCATTAATGATCGTATTGCTTTATTATCGGCATGCATGATTGTAAGTTTCAATTATTATTCATTATAAGTACTGTATGCAGTATTGTGCATTATTAGTACAGGTAGTCCTCTACTTACGATGGAGATGCGTTACGATGACCCCATCATCGTAAGTCAAAAATATCGTAAGTCGAAGATGTCCCAGCCTACCCAGGAGTCTTAAAGAATGGTGATAATTTAGCAAAACAGAGCAATTTACAGTACCGTACTGTATAAACTATATACTGTATGTATTTATTAATTGCAATACTGTATTGCAAAGTGAAATGTAAAGTAAAAAAAACAAGGTAAATTCTTAGCCTACCTATATGAACTGCAATTTAATAGAAAAAAAATGTCACGAAACAATC